ACATGGCTTGCAGTGTTTGGGCGCTGACAGTCGTCATCTCAATATGGATGGTGAGTGTTCCAGTCTCCGCCAATAATCCGCGGGTGGTGGTGATCCTGTATGAGGGAGTCTAAGGTGGATCCCTGCATCCCCCCATATGGGGCGTAGGTGTTTATCAGGGATAGGGGGCATTGCTGACGTGTATACAAACATCTCCTGAACCTCCAATTCAAGATCTATGGACCACAGCACTATGTGTTGTGCCAGCCATTTGGTAGTGACCGCCGTCAGGAGGTTCCCTCTCTGAGCTGAAGAGTGGTCCACATGGAAGAATGTGAATCTGGGAAGCGAAAAAGTGGCCCCCAGTAACAACCAAGTCTCCTGGATAATTTGGCAGTGCAGAACCAGCCTACTGTATATTTTTACTTTTCTGGCTGTTATATATAACAGGGAAAGTATGGTGATCAGTCAAAAAATGACCTTCAAAGATTTTTACGTTTTTGGACTCAGAACACCTTGAAACATCAAGAAATGCAAAAAATTTGGGTTTTTTTCAGTGGGGCATGATTTTGTTTGACCTTTTTGAAGATTAATAACTCTTGTGCTTTTTGTCAAAAATTTCTGAAATTTTACAGGGTGGTTTGTTTATTAGGGGGAGTGAAGTTAAAAAATAAGCAGATTCAGAATTGGTGACTGTTCGGTACGCTAATAACACAATGAAAAGTTCCAATAGTTCTTATCTTCCAAACTTGTCTGTCAAGAAGACACCTTATGACAACCAATGAACAGTTGGCTAGCAGTAACCCTTTCTTTGGCTGTGGTAGAACTCAGTCTGTGAGACAGATTCAAGCTTGAATTCTCCACTTCTATGTCAACCTTATATAGTTGTTGACAGCCATCGGCTGACCAATTAGCAGCTATTCCAGGTCAGCCACATTGCATGGTGTTCTTTGCCATCGGCTGACCAATCAGCAGCTATTCCAGGTCAGCCACATTGCATGGTGTTCTTCGCCAACAGTCTTCTTTGAGACACATGCGCCACCAATTCAAATTTAACTGATTGTTTCCTCCACAATCTCTCCTCAGCAGCATTTGTTACAAGTTCAAATTGACCAACCATGTTTATTACACGATATTACCACGACAGGGGGATTGATGCTATCAAATTTTGGTGATTAAAAGTTGAGAGGGTGGGGAGATAAAGGGAGTTATGTGTGTCTCCAGTAGGGTTGGATTTAATGATGATTTTACTTATTATTCACATTTACAATTTTTTATAAAACCCATTCCTACTCTCAAAATTAAGCCTTTTGCCATTTTATAATAGATAAAAATATAAAAAGTTTTTAAGTTAATAAAATATGATAACAGGTGGTGCCACCAAATGTTGACTGGAAACTTAAGCAACTCATTGCTGGATTTTTTAAAATTTATTTTATTTAATGAGTAATATACATTATTTTTTATTATATAAGGTTATTCTTTTGGACAACATTTTTACAAATACTTCAGCAATTCAAATAATTTATATTTAATTCTTTATGATTTGTAATGTAAAAATGTATACAGTAATACCCCGAACTTACGCGATAGGTGGGACCGAGCAATAACTGCGTAAGTCAAATTCGCATAAGTCGGGGTATAATTTCTCATATAAATACATATAAATAATTTTTAATTGGGGCCGGAGACTAAAGAAAACAATAATTTTTTCTAGAAAGATGGATTTGAATAATCTAAAGCAATACAAAAGTTGCAACTTCTGTTCCACTTCTCTTAATGAATGCAAATTGTGATTTGGATGTCAGAAAATTCTTTTTTGTCCATTGCTCAAACCTATTTGCAAGAATTGATGTAAAAATTTTTCTTAATGTTGATAATATAGCAATGTGTCTATAGTTACTGAGATTTGACTTCTTGCCCCTTTTAAATATCATCTGAAAATATGCAGAACACCATGTTTCAGGGAAAATGCCATGTTCATAAATGAAATTATAGCTGAAATTCTAAATATTCCAAAATGAATACCAAAAATTCTGCTGCTTCAATTGATATTCATTTTAGAAAACTGACTGGAATTAAATCAGGGCTAACAACAGTAGTTTCACTCAGTTTATTAATAACATTTGCTATTTCAGAAGCCTGCATTGGCAGATTCACCACCACCCTCTCCTCACCATACATTTCAGCTACATCTATTTCTAATGGACTAATTGTCATATTTGATTTTTTCTTCTTGAAAAAATCAAACCATTTGACAAAATCAATATATTTTGGTTTTTCATCCCAGTTCTCGGATGATATTTTTTCACTGTTGACCAGAAGATATGTTCTTGTCTATTAAAAGTATCTTGTTCAACAAATTAAAATAGCTTCTTTTCTTTGTCTTTATAAGATTATTATATTTTTTTTCAAAACTGATATATTCAATTAGTAGCACTCTTGTCCTATTTTTACGTAATGCTGCCAATCTATATTCTTTGAATCTTTTGGCCTTATAACAGTTCAAATTGAACCATTCCTGCTTAAACTTAGAAGTCATTCTATTTAGGTATGTAATTTTATCTGGGCAATTCGATTATATAATCACTAAAAATTTTACTTAATTTGTTATATATTTTTCCAAATTCTTTTGTCAATGCTACTTTATGAACTAGTTTCATTCTGTCACCTATTTCAGATTCAAATTTTTTAATATTACATTTATATTTCTTCATTTATGAATTAACTCCTTTACTTGGCTTCTCATCAGAAAGTGGTAAATTTAAATTTTATCTGATAGTCAATTGTATTGGAAAGTGGTCTGATAAATTATTATTGAGTACTTCAAATCTAACACAATAGTTCAAGATAAATTCAAAACATAAGATATAGTCAATTATCAATGCACCTCTCATCAAAGTAAAAGTATGTCTATCAGAATAATCCTCTACCATATAACCATTTAGAATAAACAAATTATAATTTTTGACAAATTTAATTAATAAATTTCCTTTCTTATTAACTCCTGTATCATGACTTCTTCTTGTATTATAAACTACCGGATTATTCCTGTTAAAAATTGGATCACATTCTTGCGTTGAAATCCTTAAGAATTATCTATAGGTGGAATATGACCAGTTCAGAAAAGTTTTCTCCATTTCTTTGAGTGGGCTTTGGAGTGTTTAGTAAGGAAGAGTATAATTAATAATTATTGCTAAGTATTCATTTGGGGAGTCCATTGAATTTATGATTTTCTAATTTAACCATAACAAATATTAAGTAAGTACTCCAATAGGAATGAACCAAATTTCCCAAGGATTTATTTATTAACAGCATTATTCCTCCCTGTGGCCTACCAGCTCCAGGTTCCTTTACTGCTGGAACCAAAATATAATTAGATCTCCTGCAGAGATCATTCATCTCCTTTTCAGTTAGTTTAGTAATCCAAGTTTCTTCTAATCCTGTGATATCATACATTGCTAATAGCTTTTTGAAATAAACAAAAAAAAATTTATTTCTAACACTTTGGGTATTCTCAAGGTGTTAGAAATAAATTTGGGTATTCCTTGAATATTTCCAATTAATGATCTTGATCTCAGTTCCTTTGTTTAATGATGAATATAATCTATCAAAATTATTACTACTATTGTTGTTAACATTAGTATTCACAACATCAAATAAATTAATCAATTGATTTCTACATCTAAAATAGATCTAGTATCAACCAAGCAATTCTTTAAAAAAATATAAGTAATTTTCTTATTCTTATAAATTACATAATCACTTCTTAATAGAATTTGCATACTTTCTTATTTGTCTCTATATAAAATGGGAGAATTTTGGCTCTACGATACCTAGTCTCTTGAGTTAGATTAGGAAGTAATCATAAATTGCTATAAATCTTTTCACAGGATACTTTTTTGTAGTTATAAAAGACTGATAATATTTGATTTTTTCTTTGAATAGTACTTAATGTACTTTTTAGTATCATGGGCTCTTCTTTTCTTATAAGTTCCTGTTATTTCTTCTACTATAAATTTGTCAATTTCAGAATTTCCTAAAGAAATTTATTAGGCTTTCTTTAATATTTATGTTATCATTTATCAAATAGCCAAATAACATCAGATTAAGTTGATTGGTTATATTTAAAATATTATTTGCCATATACTGTTGAGCTTCCATTTTCCTGTCTTAATCCAGTAGAACTGTTACTAATTTATTGACCTTCTGTTCCAATGAACCAAGCTTGGTCTTAAAATCCTTAATGTCCTGACGTATCACACTAATTTCTGTTTCCACTTCCAAAATTTGTTTAGTTATAGAACTATGTGAGGCTTAAATTAGTTTTGTCAACCGTCATAAGCTGTCAGCAGTCGAGCTATCATCCTTCTCCATCAACTCAAAACAATCTACTAGTGTAGATTCAAAATTATTTTTCCTCTCTTTTTCATATACTTTTTTATTCCTCTCCATATCCACAGAAGTCGCAGATTGTCTATGGAGCATAGTTTTCACATTCGCCGATTTAGACATTTTAACGGCATTACTACTACTGGTCACTGGGGGTTGCCCTCTCTTCAATGGAGAATGTGATAAAGGACCTGGATTTTGTTCAATTTCAGCCATAATAATTAAAATCCATGTAATTATTGGTAAATATGCTTGAAATTGCTACAAAATCATCATTGAATAATCCTTCTTCTATCTCAAGAAAAGCTCACTCAAAATTCACTCCAACATCACTAAATGCCTGAAGAATCCCCTATCCAATTAGAATAATAATAATGACCAAATTATATTTTTTTATACTGTTTATATTATTTAACTTATAGTAAAATTGGTTTGATTATATAATCATTGTTTTTGCTTACATCACAGTTTTGGAGAACCTATTGACAATGTTAAGTGAGGGCTTGCTGTAATTTAATTTTTACTTTATTTAAAATTATTTACCTCAAATGAAGGAACAATTTAAATAAATTTTAAATAAAGAGTTACTTTTTATTTAAAAAATTCTAATGAATGTTGTATTAACTTAGGTAAGAACACAACGTACAGTACCAGTTATAGTTGCTACTGTCAAAAGATTTCTGTTATATGGAGATCACGAAGGGGATGTCTATGCCACTGGTGGTGACATTGAATTGCAACAAGTAAGTTTTTACTGTTATTAATTAATAATTATGGATATTCAAATTGACTTTAACAATTTAAAAATTATATTTTTCATAATAACTTGTTAAACTTTTAATCTTAACTAAATATAATGCATATTACTAAGTAGAAACAGATCTTATTATTTAAAGCAGAAGAATCTTGTACTATTTATTTTACATATTTAATATATGTGTTCAAGAAAGTTTATTAAGTTATATTTTCAATGATTTCTTAATAATTTTTAATTAAATTTATGCATTTGTACTGAAATTTATTAAAAAAATCTGTTATCCAAACTTCTTCTGGATTAAGTTGAATTTATCATCAGAAATAGTAGAACTAATGAGAGCAGATATCAGAATATCAGAAATTTGGAAATTGAAAATGCCCAAATTTAAATTTATGAACAACCTGGTCTTGCAGTTCTCTTTTCCTGCCCACCACCCTCCATTCATATGACAAAAACAAGAAGTTAACATTTGCAAAATCTTCTATCCCATACTTAGGATCTGTTACTTTATGAATAGTTCAAGCTTATAAAAGACACAGGGTCACACTTACCATCAAACCACAGCTGTCGCTCTGCAGAATTCTGTGTAATGATAGGGATTCTCTTACTCTTTTGGAGAAGTCTGGAGTTTATATAGTCCCATTACAGCAAGTGCAAATAGGAACAAAGATTTTTTTACATAGGTGCCACAACTAAAAAGTTATTGAACCATTTAAATGTATTATTTTTAACATCATCTTGGATTCCCAAGATGATGATAAAAATAATACACTGTGACCCTCCACTAATTTTGCGAAAAATGTATTATAAAATAATTTTACTCCATTATGGGCCCCTACTTCCATTCTCAGGTGATGTTTAGATTGCAGAACATTGTTTATCTGGGAGTTGTTATATAAAACCTTGCAACTCTCCCTCACTCAAAATTCCTGATATATGGATAACACTTTATAAAAACTTAAAACCTTAATTTTTCTCTAGATTTTATTTTTATTTTAACCTTATTTATACTTTATTTTATTTTACTTAGCCTTATCTTAACTATCCATTTTTGTATTTTACTTATTTTTTATTCACATTTTATATTGGGTTGTTCAGAAAGTTTGTAGCTATTTTTCATAGCTGACAGTTGAGACACTGCGTGATGCAAAAATTATTAGAATTGTACAAACCAATGAATATTACAATAAATGACCTTGAGATGCATCTGTTACAAAAAAACCATTAAGATTATTCAAATATCCTTTAATTTGTCTCATTGCAAAAATTGATGCAAACAACATGCATTATCAACACTTGTTTTTTTTTTATCATAAAGGCAAAAAATGCTGTAAAAACAGAAAAAAATATATAAAATAAAATTGCCAGGACATATATGACATTTATAGAAAAAAATATATTTTTCTATAAAAGGAAAAAAAAATATGTTTATGTTGGGAGTTCTGTAGCAGAATCAACTGTTCGAAAGTGGCTTGCAAAATTTAAAGCAGGTAATTTCAGCCTTGTAGATGCTCCCCACTCAGAAAGACATCCCATTATTGAAGAGGACCAGATCAAAGCATTATTGGATGAAAACCCTCATTACACAACTCAAGAGATTGCAGACATAGTTAAGTCATCAAACAGTACTGTAGTTCAACCTCTAAAGAAGCTCGGATATGTGAATCATTACAACATTTGATACCTCACTTAATGGAAAAGAACTTACTAGATCACATCTCCATTTGTGATTCTCTTGAAAGACAAAATGAAAATGACCCTTTTCTGAAACATTTAGTGACAGGTGATGAAAAGTGGATCATTTATAACATCAGCCGAAAATGATCATGGGGTATGAAAAATGAATCACCATTAAAAACTCCAAAGGCCAGTCTTCATCCAAAGAAGGTCATGCTCACCATCTGGTGGGTTTGGAAAGAAATCCTGTACTATGAGCCTATATACTTATCAGAATCAAACAATTGATTCTGATAAGTATTATCTCAATTGGATAAACTGAACATGGCAATTAAAGAAAAACTCTGGAACTAGCCAATAGAAAAGGCATTATGTTTCACCAAGATAATGCCAAACTGCACACATCTTTACAAACACACCAAAAATTATTGGAACTAGGCTGGGATGTTTTAACCCCCCATACTCACCCGACCTTGCCCTGTCAGACTACCATTTGTTCCATTTTCTGCGAAATTCCCATCATGATAAAAACTTTGATATTTTGGAAGCTTGCGAAAACCATATGGATCAGTTTTTTGCGGGAAAAACTGAAAAGTTCTACAAAGAGGGTATCATGAAGCTCCCTCATAGATGGCAACATGTCATTAAAAATAATGGTGCATACATAATGAAATAAAAGTATATTTTTAGTTTCAAAACAGTTTCTTTTTATTTCTCTTAAAAATCACTATGAACTTTCCAAACAAACCAATATATCAAGAATAATTTCTATATTTGTTTTAAATTTAAATCAAAACTTTATCTCACATATGCAAAAACTAACATATTTAGTTTAAAAAAACTTTCATGTTTGATTAACATAATGAGATTTTAAAATCATTTTTCTAATTTCATATATTATTTTTTTGCTTGAGGAAGACATTTTGAAATGTCAAAAGTACTTGCATGTATTTAATTTGTTAAACAAATAAATCAAATGCCAAAAGACTACAATTTCTTCTTTATAATATATTTGGCATTGTAATTGAATTTATGAAGTTTTACAATACACGTGTAAATTCAAAATATATACAGTAAATTGGATGTACTTTAATGAATAAAAATCTCATTAAAATTGCCAAAACTACCTATAGATGGAAAAGATAATCTTTTTTACCTAATTGGATTGAGGTTGAAGCAAGTTTTTATATTTTTTTATATTTATGTACAGTACATACTAAATATAAATATATTTAGTATGTAAATATATTTGTTATGACATGGAATGTTTGGAAAAATTATACCATGGTATAATTTTTATTATAGCAGTACAGAAGCAAAAGCAGCACTTGAAATAAAATGTTATCATGGCCAGGTTGTGTAAATGTAAAGTGAAGAAATTCACTTTGGGCTGGGCTAAGCTGTGGGCTGATCTTCAGTTCTGGACTTCAGTTGAGGGCTGAGCTAATCATCAAAATTCTGCCCTATAGCTCAACTCAGCTTATTTGCTACAACTCTAGTTATGGCTAAAGCCCATAAATTGGATAAAGTTAGGATTAACTGGCTAATGCTAGCTTTAGCCAAGTCTTGGTTAAAGCAAACAACAATCTATTCATTTTGAAGTTTATCCATATAAAGCATGTTTTATATCCAATTCACAAACAGATAAAGCTGACATTACCCAAAAATAGATAGATGAAGCAAGAAGAAAACTTAAAATTTGTACTTTTTATGTATATTGTTAATGTTATAATGTATATTGGTTAATTGCAAATTAATGCTAATTTTTAAATCTAATGGAATGTCTAGATGAGAGGACCATTCTGTATGATCGATCTGAAGATGAGTTAGTTGTTAAGTGATCACAAAAATGTTTATTTGTTTAAAATTTTATTGATGGATATAGTACAGATTGTCGTTGTTGTTTTAATTTGCATCCAGTTTATACTATATCATTTAGCAAAAGAAAGAAAGAAACTGTAAAAATGTTGAAAGCTTCACCAGAAGATTTTTTATTCCCTTTTTTTGATCAAATTTGTTACTATGATCAATCCCTGGTGTATGAAATTTATGATATATGTAAAGGTTGGTGTTCTGTAAATCAAAGTATGAGGCTTCTGTTATTTTACAGATAAATCTATAATCCAGGGGTGGCCAACTTTTTGCATACCATGCACCAATTTTTTGATAGATGAGTTCACATGCGCAGTGGCGTACCGTGAGTGTTAGCAGCCCAGGGTGGAGAAAAATTTCGGCCACCCCTTATTTAGGTATTTCAGTTTATAAGACGAAAATTCAGATTTGCCACAGAACAAGCAATGAAAAATGCAGTTGTAGTGTAGCTACCTGTATGAAATAGTTCTATATGACATCAGTGGTGTACATGAACACGAGTGCATCGTGTAACGTACAAGCAAAAAAAAAAAAAAAAAAAAAAGGGTCAACAGGTTGATTGCACCAAATTATGTAAGAAATACACTTGCCAAGACACACTGTAAAAAATTAATTTCCTATGTAATATTCATAATTGCAATGAAGCCAAATCTGGCAATGTTGCTCGGAACCGACTGAAGCGCCACTTGTAGTCGTCCAATGCGCCACGTTTTGGCCACCCCTGCTATAATCTATAGCTTTAAAGGTATAATTTTTAAAATTAAATCTGGTGTACTGGCAAAATTTATTATCTGTCACCTCATTTCTTTACCATACAGAAATAATATATTTTAGTCAATTTGAAGCTAAAGTGAAACTTTAAGTTTTCTTTTTGATTTATCCAAAATGGTATGAGTAAACCCAAGGACTATATACTACAAGGATAGCCAGATCCCTATTCTACAATGTTAGCCAGGAATGACAAGTTAGTGACGTCAGCACGAGGCCTGACCTCTCTGTTTACATAGAACAGGGTGTGCACGTGTTTAGTTTTCGCTTTTAATAATCGTCCAATTTTGTGATTAATGAAGTGATTTATTTTAATATTTCTGTAATTGTTTTATTTGACTAAATTTTTTATAAGATAAGATGATTTAAATATAAGTCATTAAATATTTAAAGCTATATTTTTATGTTAGGTGAAGAACAAAATGCTGAGTACTAGGTGTGCTGTGTATGGTTGCAATAATAACCTTCTTTTTTCAAATTGGAAGCAACCTGTTTACATCGGGTTTGATCAAAAAATGACAAGAGAAATACTTTTAAAATTAATAGCAGAACTTTATTTACTATCGTATAATGTAGTAGCTTGCGTCAGTGACTGTAGTTGCAGTAACATAAGTTTATGGAAAGAATTGAATGTGAATATCAATGAAACGTTTATTATGAATCAATTATTATTATCAATGAAACGTATATTAGAGATATAAATATGTGGTTCGACATTTTTAATAGCTATGCACCAAAAGGTTCTGTTCCAAGCAAAAATGGATATGGTGTAGACTTGGAATTACAAGAAGAACATTTAAATAAAATGATAAAAATAATCTCAACAATGAGAGCAAGTGGAAAAAATGCCCTCCAAATTTTCCAGAAAGGAATGATAATCTCAATGAAATCGCTAATTGATCTTTTTCAAGATATGAAATCGACTTTTGATATAAAATACATCTGCACTCACAATTTAAATCAAGATTGTCTGGAAAACTTTTTTTTTTAAAATTAGAAGCCGGGGTCCTAATGAACATCCAAGCCCATTAAATGCTATATATAGGATTAGATTGATTATTTTAGGTAAGAATCCTGGTATTTTAGAGTCAAAAGTAAATACTACAGATCGAAGACAAGAGGAATATATTATACCCAAAGTTTTAGAGAAAGCACATGTAGAAGTATCAAGTGAAAATACAGACCAATATACTGAATGTAAAACTACTTTTTCTTCAAATAAATCTTCAGGAAACTCTACATGCAATCTAGACTTTAACACAATCTCTGAAGAAACTTCCTACGATGCTCTCGAGTATATAGCAGGATATTTTGCCTATAAATATAAAGAAAAATACCCAAACTTAATTAATTCCACTAACAAAATTAAAAATCATTACAACTATAGCATTCCGTCATGGGTGCAACATTTATCTTATGGAGGGCTTATTAAACCTACTGATGAATGGCTAGCAAAAATTATAGAATGGAATAAATATTTCGAAATATATCACGATGAATCGTATAAAAAAGGCCCCGGAGTTGTACAGAATTAGTCAGTGGAAACAGTTTTACCTTTTACTTTAATAAAAGATTTTTGTAAATTAAGAACTATAATAAGAATTAATTATAGAAATCTTAAACAAGAAAACTATAAAATATTGAAAAGAATGCCTTCTGAAAATGGTGATTGTCGAAAAAAAATTAAAAAGTTAAGTAAGATAATCACATATTAAAAAATATAGCTCATTAATTTGTTAAATAAATATTAGACAAAAGACTTGTAAATTTATTGACGTACAGTACACTTATTAAATCCGAAAATTCTACAGTAGTTTACATTTAGTAGTAATTTAATAATTAATTAAGAAATGATTTAATATTTTATCATATTTTGTTATTTGAAAGATCTGTCATGATGAAGTAGAGGGCTTGCTGTGACATCACATAGATCCAAGGTCACGCTAACAAATATACAGGATCTGGCTATCCTTGTAGTTTAAAGTCCTTGGGGTAAACCTATATATATATAGCTTTATCAGCTTGTATCAATACTTGTATAAAGCTAGAACTAGTCAGTTAATTCTACTTTTACCTGATTCATGGTCTTAGGCTGTAACACATATATTAAACATTTAAAAATTATTTATTATTATTTTTGATTACAAATAATTTATTGTAAGATTTTTCATTAATTTTATCATTGTTAAATGAATGTAATGAAATGTTTAATTTTACATATTTTTTACATGAAAATATTTGATATTTAGTTAAAAAAGTTAAAAAAAAATAACTGGAAAATATAATGCATTTATTTTTTTTTTAAAGGAACCACGTACACTGTATGATGAAGTAAAGATTTTTCCATTAGCCAAGTTAGATAGGAAAATAACTGATAAGGCTATTCGAAAATGCATTGAAGAAGAAGAAGAAAAGTAAGAATATTAATTTCATATAATTAAAATTAACAGTATTATTTTTATAAGATGATAATTAATTAATCAATTAATTAAAGTACTAAATTAATATATTTTAAATTAAAGAACTTAAGTAAAATTTTATATTTTGATACAATAATTTTAAGTTTTTAATTTTACAACTAACAGTTTTACAAAATATCACAAATTAAAGTGAGCTTGTTATGAAAACTACATATATATATAATTGTTTGCATGCAAAAATATATATGTACTGTAGTCTACTGTAAATAGCCTAAAGTCTATTGCAATGCCTAGAAAAATAAAATAGAAAACAACAAATTTTATGAGAGTCTAGTGCATGTATTTAGGAAGAGAAGTGCTAGACTTTATTAAGAATATGTCCAATTTTATCTAAACAGTTTCCTTTTTCTTTTCATTATAAATTTTCTCTATAACATTCAAGAGTTTTTTGAATTTAAGTGATTTATCTTGAGAATTTTTCAAGATTTAAATCCTTACTTTCAAATTTTTTCATTTTCATTTTTTTGGCTAAAGGTTATAGTCATTTCTTGGAATACATACATTTTTTAAGAAATTTTGTTTTTATTCTAACTCTTCCTCATTTTCTTACACAACTTTCTCAAGCTCAATCAAGTCCCCATTAGTGATCTAGATGGAAGCAAACGATAGCTTTGCTTCCAAGTGCACGTGGAAGCAAAGCTAATAATATCTTTGTTAGTCAGCTTTAGGCAGCAAGAGAAATTTTGCTTAATACTGGAAATCTTCATTAGTTTGAAATTCAGGGGACAAAATATTTGTGACTTTGAATTATCCGAGATTTACATGTTTCTGTATGTGAAGGTCTGAAACCCTTTTTCTGTTTTAAAACAGTATAAACTTCGGAATTTTCTCTGAAAAGGGAAAAAGGAGAACATCTGCGGTCAATGACCGAGATGCTCTCCTCGAATAAGAAAAAAAAAGGGGAAAGTTAAAATATCAATAAATGAAATCTCCTCCATTTGTTTAAAGGTAATTCTATAGACGTTAATATCAACAAGAAGGGAATAAGAGATGTTTCTTATCACCTCTTTGGTTGCACGTAACACGTGGTTACAGCAATAAATTGTCTCGTTCGTAATCAAACACGACGTTTGATATAAACAATAACTAGATAGTTGACCAGGTTAAAGAAATTATTGTCAGCTGAATGTTAATTTATGGATGAGAGCCATCAAACCTATAGAAATTTATGTCATAAAATCATATCATCTTGACACCAATATCAATAAATTGAACAAACTTCTCTATGTCAGTTGTCCGAACTAGCTAGATCCAAACATCAACACACTAACAGGCATGTGGATAAATCATTAGTAATGTCATAGTTCTCACCCCCTCAAATTTGGTATAAAGAGGGCTCCCGGCCAGTTATCGGTGTGGCCTCCCAAGATAGCAGAAAGCAAAGGATAACTGTCCTCATCGCTGACCACCAAAGAGGGACGACATGGTTAGATTCTACAAGCTACAACTTAGTAAGTAGAACTCTCTCTTTCCTCTCAGGTGGACTAGGGCTAATTCCGAAAATAATATTAAGGAGGATCAGAGACTATCCTCAGTCGAAATACCCGAGATATAATCCGATTAACCTACTATTGTAATTTCGGTTTGATATTGTTATTATTATTCTTATTATTTGTAACTTTTTTTATATAGTGTATACTAATTAACTTATATTATATCTTAATCATGTGTGTTTACTCGTACTCTGTCAACACCTTATCGACTTATCCGCGACCTCCCACTCAATTTTTGCCCTCCTAAATTGCCATCCACTGACCCTGTGAGCGGGACTCGCCTCCCCGTTGTCGGAAAACAGTTTAGGCTTAGATGCTTAAACCCCGATTCTCACATGTACAATGTGCCAAATGCCATGTAACATGTAATTTATTAAGCAAACAGAATATGGCTACATAGACAGAATGCTATTTTTTGTTAATTAATAACAATAATAATACACCCTTCCACGTAAAGATGACAGACATGACCTGATTGACATAGTAAATCTTCATTACAAATGAATACAGACACTGTGAGAATTTTTCTATAGAAAACAATAAACATCACAGTTACATAAAGCAGTAACTCTAGCAGGCTCAAATAAAACACCATTAAATTTACACTCACATCATACGAACACAATACAACATAAAAAGCATAGACACCATTAAGCAATCGTGGACTCGAAAGGCACTCCATGGCAGGCATCTCTACGACCTAACCCAGGATTTTGTTGACAAAACTGCATCAAACAGCTGGTTAGCTCAGGGATGCCTCTTTGGGGAGATGGAAGGATTCATGATTGCCATACAGGATCAGGTCATAAATACTAAAAACTACAGAAAACACATGCTCAAAGATACAACACTCAGAAACGACACATGCAGAAAATGTCACATCATGCCAGAAACTATACAACACATCACTTCTGGTTGCAAGCTCTTGGCACAGACTGATTATTTACACAGACATAATCAAGTAGCAAATATAATAAACCAAGAGCTTGCAAACAAACACAAATTATTAGACATCCACAAACCATAATACAAATACATTCCACAGACAGTACTGGAAAACAACATGCAGAAAATGTACTACGACAGAGCCATAATCACAGATAAAACAATTTACCACAACAGACCAGACATCACACTCATTGACAAACACAATAAAATCACATACATTATAGACATATCCATTCAAAACACTCACAATATACAAAACACATGCACTGAAAAAATTAGCAAGTACACAGAACTTGCCTGGGAAATAAAGCATCCGTGGAGAATGGATAGGATGCTTATTGTACCTGTCAGTCTCTCCTGTACAGGTGTGATACCACACACACTACACAAAAGCCTTGGAACATTACAATTGAATAGAAATACATACATCACACTACAGAAGGCCACTATATTGAATACATGCCACATTGTTAGGAAATTCCTGAATACAGACACTGACACATTTATTTAATTTTTGTTTTTGGTTGCTATGCCTTGACTCTGATATGGCATAATACACAGCCACCAGTGTCAACCAAGTATAACCCACTAAACCCAACATAATAATAATAATAATAATAATAATATAAATAAACTGCAGGTAAACAGTGTGTGTTTGACGAGAATCTTACATATTGCCAGATAGGTTTTATAAAAAAAATAAAGAAGAATTTTTTGAATTGTAGCCCAAATTTTTAAAATGTCCCAAAAAGTAGTAAGTCACTCAAAAGTAGTAGCCTAGAGTCCTACAATGGAAGAATGGGCTACAAGTAGCAGATTGAGTATTTACTCAATTTGCTACTTGTAGCCCATTCTTCCAATCTGGAAACCCAGCCATATTTTATGAAATATGAGAAAAAAGTGGTGGTCCATATGTAAGGTGACACTACAAAGTGTGTTACTGTAAAAGCAATGTCATATTGAACAGATTAGAGTTGTTCTTGGTCTATTGTTCTCTTATAGCATGGTGACACTTCAATCAAAATGAATGAGTTAACATACACATATCACATTTCGGACAGAAGTTTCACTTCAAATTATAAAGTAGTTATATATTTGAACTAACGAAATTCTTTAACATATAAATCTGTATATCTCTGGCTGGGACAAAAGTACAGTTATGAACTGTTGGGATTTCAAACTATCTGAGTTTGAATTAATAAGGATTTCCTGTATAAATGTTTTCAGTCATTTAAAAAGACCGTCTTAAGACAACAATACAAATTAAATACAACTGAAACAGAACAAATAAGATGATAAGGCATATGATGAAATACAATTTTTAAAAATTTTATTAAACCAAATACAAAAGCAAAGCAAGTTTGAAAATGATGAATAAAATGTAAATGTAATTCATACACAGAACTATGATGAATTGGAAATTGATTTTATCATAGCCTATACTGTATGTATAGATTTTTCTAATTTTATTTATTTTATCAGAAGTTTTAAAGAGATTTTTATATATGTTGTTCATGTATTTAGTAGTTTGCTCACTCCATGCTTCTGCATTCTTCATTTTATGACAAATGTTCTTACAGAGTTCTCATAGTCTTTTCTTTGTTTTAACTGTTTTTTTTTTTTGTGCAAAACTAATTTTTTAAATGATAAGCTCTGAAGGTAGAAATAGCTACCTGATATGTAGATTAATTGAATTTACAGAGTTAGGTAATAAAAAGAAATTACTTTTACATTCCCGTCTAGAAGTAGAGAATGGTTTGAAGCATTATCAAGATCAATGAGATTTTGAAAGGAATATTTTTGTTTGTGTCAATATTCTTCTCAAAACAATTTGTAAACCAATTTTCACCATCAACCAACCAATCAAAGAATTGCATTATTTATATGATGATGTATTTATAATTTGGCATTACTAATTTCCATGGATGTTTAGGGTTTTGTGAGTAATAAATAATAAATAGTTTTAACTTAAAGCATTTCTAATAAATGAGTAATGTGATTCTTGCACATTTTGAAACCTCACATATACTTTATCTCTTTTGAATGTATGTATTGTACAATTGGGCATCATTTTCAGCAGAGACTAATTTCATCTACATTAAAAATTTTATTCTTTCAAACAAATTTTTTCTTTAAACAATACATCAGAATCATTCAAGAAATATCAGTAACTTTCTAATCTGCACTTGTTGTTTTTCCATTTATCTTAATATGATTATCATGATTTTTGAATCTTTCAAATCAGACATAACATGCATTAAAACTATGATTATAACCATCATCATTTCTTTTTAAATCTTTTAACATGTTGACTGCCAACTTGTTACAGCTAAACCACTCTCCTGATTCATACCTGATTTTGTATACTTATATTCTTTATTTTATTATTTTAATTTTTATTTTCGCAAAATGAATTTTTCTATTGTGTAAGGCAAGATTATTTTGAATTCTTCAAATAAATGCCCATGATTTAATATTTATTTTACAAGTATGTTAGTATAACATGCTGCAGGCCAGATCGTTTTTCTATGAGATAATGGTATAGAAAACTATGACTGTAGGATGATATACTGAAGTTTATTTGCCAAAATTTATCAACTCATTAATGGAGTTTTGTTCACATTTGCAATTGGACACATGACATCTTCAGCATGTCACTACTCTGATATTGTACATCTTGTTTAGCTAACACAATATTTTTGCGAAATTTGAGACTATTTTGTTGAACATCAATCTTAGTCTTGGTGCTGGATTACAAACACCTCATATCATAAATTACAACAAAATTCCACATAAATTACCAGATACAAGAAGTCTTGTATTCACAAAGCACATCATAAATTATATTGTAAAAAGTCTTGTAAATACTACAATATTTAATTTCTCTCATAAGCCTGTATATTGGAAAAGGTGTTGGTATTTGGTTTTATTGCTAGATAATCAAATCAATTGTTGTTCCTTAATGTCTCTTTTAAAATATCTTCGATTCATAACTTCTAAGATGTTATCAAATGCCAGAAACATTGATAGAATTTTACAGTAGGTAGAATTAAAACTGTTTATATTAATAGTTTTAGTTCTACTGTGATTTTTAATTCACAATTTTAAACTTTAATAACTTTTTAATTAAATGAGATAGAAAGAAAATTCAAAAAACATACTATACAGAATTTATTGCCATGTAATTAATTAGGTTTTTAAAATGACTACTTTTGCTTGCTAGAACAGTTTTTAACCAATTTTTGAAACATTCAGTAATGGTAATAAAGCTCTTTCTTGGAATTGCCATTATTTTTTCTTTTATCATGTCTTACAACTCTTCAATAATTGCAGGAGTACTGCAATATATTCTATCTTTAAGGCAGCTGCATAAAAAGAAGTCACATGAGTTTAGGTAGAACTATAAGATGACTACTCCATGCCATCACTAGCATATTTTTTGTAATTAATTAGATTACATGCTTCTCAAACATGCTGTAAAGGCTTTTGAACTCTTGTTTAGTGCAATGGGGCCTTGCACTATCTTGCATTAATCAAGCATGATGATATTTGTGCCCAATAAGCATTTTGGGGTTAAACTTCTTTTCCAATAATTCAACATATGTGGCTGAAGTTGCATTTTTTTTTGAAGAAGAAGAATGATCCAATAACTCTACTAACAGTGATGGCACACCAAACTATTACTCTTTGGAGGTTTAGAGGCTTAATTATAGAAAGATGTGGATTTCCTAAACCTCAATGTTGGTAATTTTGTTAACATAGCCATGTAAATAAAAGTTGGCCTTGTCAGAGAAATAAATACATTCTATATCAATTTCTTTGCTTTCAATCATGATATAAATGAAATTGGTGAATTCCAATCTTTGCTCAAGATCATGCTTCTTTATTGGGTGTTGAACTTGAATTTTATAGGATTTATAGGGAAAGTATGTTCAATTCATTTTCATATTCTTTCTGACAGAGAAGAGTAAGATATGTCTAGTAGCTGTGCTGCATGTTATATTGATGTAGTTGGCTGGTCTTCAAATATCACCTTTGTGCAATTTATATTTTTTGGAGCAACAACTGTAGTTGGATGACCAGCCCTTCCTTTTCTTCTATACTTCCAATTTTTTCAAAAGAAGCAAGGCAATAGAAAGTAGTAATTTACTTTTTATTGTCTTTCTTCTTCTTATGCCATCTATAAAGCATTTTAATTATAACTAAATAAAATTTAGTTATATTTTCTTAGACATTGCAAACATGTGATAAATGAGAAAATTCTGAAATTACACCACTAAGAAACACTTTCCCATTTCCTGTATTAAAACAGAAGCAGTTACTAATGATGATATAAGACATACTCTTATTACCTATTTTTACTGTTTTGCTGTAAAGCTACAAAATTTTTGTGGATATGAAGTATAAAGTATTGTGTTATATCTTATGAGATGTTTGTGAATCAGGTCTCAGATCTCACTCCTTTTGACTTTGGTCTTTGTGTTTCCAACTGAAAGAGCAATGCTTCTTGACAGATGATGTGGTCAAACTTACTCTGATACATCTTTAGAAAAGTTTCAAGAAATATATAAGTGGTTTGAATACATGCATAAGTATATACAATGCAATAGAAATTATTTTGAAAAGTTATAATAAATAAAACTGTATCTCAGAACTTTTATAGTGACCTACATATTTTAGGATTGGTCTTCTTTGCTTAAATTACGAGGGCTGTTTCTTTTTCAACCTCTAATGATCCATAAAACAAAGACAAATGTAACAAAATGAATTTATTACCAAAAGTTAGGTACAAACATGGTTACTTTTTGACATAATTACCATGAAGATTGAGGCATTTGTCTATCTGTAGATGAGCTTTGAAATTCCCTCTTCATAAAATGTTGTCACCAGTGACTTGAGATGGCCTTAACAACGTTGTTTTGAAGATCGTCATTAATCTCAAACCTCTGCCCTCCTAGCCATGTTTTCAGTTCAGGAAAGAGGTGGAAATCGCTCGGTGCTAAATCGGAGCTATACGCTGGGTGTTTAAAGGTGGTGAAGACTTCCACCCAACTTGGAACATTTTAATGTGTGAAGACTTCCACCTCTTTTCTGAACTGAAAATATGGCTAGGAGGGCAGAGGTTTGAGATTAATGACGATCTTCAAAACAACGTTGTTAACGCCATCTCAAGTCACTGGTGGCAACATTTTATGAAGAGGGGTTTCAAAGCTCATCTACAGATAGACAAATGCCTCAATCTTCATGGTAATTATGTCAAAAAGTAACCATGTTTGTACCTAACTTTTGGTAATAAATTCATTTTGTTACTTACATTTGTCTTTGTTTTATGGGCTATCGGAGGTTGAAAACGAAACAGCCCTTGTATTTTATTAAGATCATATTTTCTCATTTATGTTAATGAGCAAAAATATTTTTCTCATATAATGAAAAATAAAATTGATATTTAAAATATCAATTATATTTTATATTTTACATCATATAAGATGCAACTTTTGTCTAGGAAAGAGGCTCAAAAATTGCCCTGTGCCTTATATATGAAGTTGCAATCTCCCATAGGCTAATTAATTCCCAAATTTTTGAAGATGATTAATGTTTTCTTTTTCTCTTTTTAACTGAAGAATAAGGTTTTTTTTTTGTCCATTTTCTTTTTGTGTTGAGTACAACTAACACAAAAAGAAATTATTTTGTTACTGTTAAGTATGGTTTGCATGTATCAGTATTTGTTGTCAACAGGTAATTTAATTGTGAAATTTTTTTTTTAATATCTAAATTGCTTTTGTCTGTACAGCATTCATGTATGATGTTTTAATGGTACATTTTAATTGTAAATGACTTCTTTTAAACTCTTCATTTTCCCTGATAAATTTATACTACGTGTTCTAATTTTACTTTTTTGAACCAGAATACAGTAAAAAGAAATTTTGAAGCCAAGTGCCAATGGTATTGAATGGCTAAAATATGTTAAATACTTTTTTCAAAATATCCTGTGCTGAAATGAGGGATGTATCTTATATGCTGTAAAATATGGTAATTATTAGAGAAGGATAATTAAATTATTGAGTATAAAAAAATTACTTTGTAATAATGTAAACAAACAAAATATTAATAAACTTTTTCATTGCATGAAATCATACATACATATACATAACCAGTATATATAATAATAGAAACTTACTAAATATAAATTTATAGATGTATTATCATCAAATATAGATTTATTCCCTTTTTTAAATTTGTATTTAACAGTAATTTTTGACATAAAGAGAACCTTTTTTTTATTGTTAAATTTTACTAAATTTGAAATACAGTAGAGCGTCAGTTATTCAAAAGAATTCCAGTCGGCAAATTTAAATTTTTGCTAGTGCTGTGGCACTGCAATCTTTGGCTATATCTTGGGCTATTCCAATATTTTTTTTGTTGATGTGTGTGTTTTAGCTGGCAGCACTGACACTTTTGTGTGGTGTTTTTCTGAGGACTGTGTGTCATGCTGAATCGAACGTTTTTGATACTAGATCAACTTTTAAAGTATAATTTTTTTTGTTTTTATTTTTCAATATATATATTTTGTTTGTAAAAAATAAAGAAATAACTTTTAAATGATACAATAGCCACGATTATTATTTTTAAAAGTTTACATTAAGCTTAACATCGATGAAAATTCAACACGAAGCGACACGCAATGGAGAAAAATTTCAACACGGGATAGGTTAATATATTTTTTCGTACAGAATCAGTTATCCGAACAACCCCAGTCCCCAATTGATTCAGATAAACGACGCTCTACTGTAATAGAAATTTCAATTCATTTTATAAGAAATTGTAAACCGCATTAATTCAAGATATATTTAAATATTTTATTTTTGATTTTTTCTCTGCAGGTTGCCTGATAAATTAATAGTTACTTGGCCTGAAGGAGATGAACTGTTCCCTAATGAAAAAAGACCAGCAGGAAAAACAATAGGTATCTGTTGAAATATTATAATGATTGGTTTTTAATTTATGAAGAAATTTATCATGGTGATGAAATTTAAAAAATTGTGAAAGTGTTTATAATTAAAATGAAATTATTTTCATTTTATTTATAATAAAACTTTTTAAATTTAATTTCAATTCTAGTTAATTAATGTCATTTATTTCATATTAATAATAACATATCTTAAAGTAGGTATTATTTGCTATTATAAAATCTGTTAATAAATAATAGAGAGGTTGTGGCCAAAGTTTTCATCTCTAAAACATGAATGTTGAATGTCGAGCGCTGCTTACAAGATAGCGGTGCTCGACGTTCAACATTCACGTTTTAGAGATGAAAACTTCAGTTGCGACTTCGCTAATATCTCATAATGGATAAAAGTTAATATGGCTGCCATTGAAAAAATGTGAAACTATAAATTTCCACTGTTGTCCATTTGTTCTTCTGTCTGTCTGTCTTTCCTTAATCTTGAGAAAAGAGTTAAATAGATGAAAATTGAGACCAGATATGGAAAGCTTAGGGACAGGAAGTCCCAATTAACTATATACAAACTTCACCTTATGTAGTTACCTTAAATATCAATTTTATTTTTCATTATATGAGAAAAATATTTTTGCTCATTAACATAAATGAGAAAATATGATCTTAATAAAATACAAGGGCTGTTTCGTTTTCAACCTCCGATAGCCCATAAAACAAAGACAAATGTAAGTAACAAANAAAAGTATGAAAAAATCCATTATTAGTGTAGTATATTATTATATCCCATGTAATTAGTATATTAGTATATCGCTATTAACCTACTTCGTGTTGAATTTTCATCGATGTTAAGCCTAACAAAAATTTTTTAAAATAATAATCGTCGCTATTGTATCGTTAAAAATTAGAAAATTAAGCCTCGTTTAAATACTGGTTCCCTTTCATGGTCGAATGAAAGTTGCCAGCTAAAACACGTAAAAATAATATTAAAGTAGCCAAGACATAGCCAAATATTGTAGCGCCACATCACTAGCAGACATTTGAAATTTGCCGACTAGGACAGTCGGTTAACCGAGGTGTCGGTTAATCGGGGATTGGATAATCGAGGCTCTACTGTATTTCAATTCAAAATTTCCCTTGAAAGGAGTTAATAGATGACCAGCATGATTCTATTGTTAAAGGAAAAGTGTGATGTACAGGGGCAAGCCACTGCTAATTTGAGGTGGAGAGCATATACTTTAAATTAAATATGATTAAAAGTTTCAGCTCGGCATTGTGGTGATGTCACAATAAATAAATGCTCATTTGTCTTTTAAAATTACTGTAGGCCAAATTAAGGCTTGTTAAATTGAGTCTACAGTAATTTTGAATTTAATGGAAAAAATTAATGTTTTGAAGGAAAAATTTAGAACCTATTTTTCATAATTTGCAAATAGAACACACTAAAAAAAGGGCCAATGATTATAACTCACTCAGTGTACAGTACATTGCAATAATATTTTATTTATACCTGTACATTATAACAAATTTTAAAATATTCTGTATGTTTTAAGTTCATATATATATAATACTTTTAGAACACATTCAATTTAATGACTTTTAGCAATAGCAAACCACTTCTTCTTCCAATTAGTCTGTTAAATTAAGGGCCTATTGTATTTTTGTTTCAAGTGCAATATCTTATTACTTCTTCATATAAAAATTTAAATTTTGATGATAATTTTTCTGTCTTCTATCCTTTTTATGTTTTAATTTAAGTTCTTATTGACATTTTTATATCTTTTGTTTTTTTAAGCATTCAAAATATCAGATAAAAATTAGTAATTTTTAAATTACTTTTAATAATTTTAAAATTGGTAATTTAGATATAATAGTAATTTTTTATTGTGTGTTTTATTTTAAGGAAAATGAAATATTTCAGTATGATTTGAGATGATAATTTATAATATTGTTATTAATTACAGTATTTTATTTTTGTGATTTTAATTTCTTAATTTTTTCTTTTTTTATATATATATATAGGTGCAATTAAAGTTGAAATTTCAAATCGTCGTGGAGAACCAATTAGTAAATTACCAGGATCTAGTCAGAAGAAGCTTTTAGTAGAATTAAAGATAATTTGGCATTGTAATAACTTTTTCATATTATTTCATTACACAAATTATAAAATAAGTTATTTTCATTAATGAAATTTATAAATTTCTATATAGTTGCTTCTCATTTAAGAATTATAATTAGTTATCATGGCCTTTTCTCTAATGAAATTTATTGTTAGTCAAATATTATCCTTATGTAGTCAAATATTTGCTCATTTGTAATAAAAAATTTTTTGCATGTAGTAGATTGTCACAATACTACACTATTATTAAAGTAAGAACCAATACAGTATAATAATTAGTTTGTGATAAAATGAAATCTAGTAATCACAAAATAGATTAATTACTTTTCATTTTTATTATTGTATTTTTTGCTACATTACATTTCATTTAAGCAAAATCCTCATTTTCAACAGTATATTACTAAAAAATAATTTCAATTTTGGTTACTAATTACTTTTCTGGTTGTTATATATAACAGAGGGAAAGTAAGGTGATCAATCAAAAAATTAACCTTCAAGATTTTTTTTTTGGACTTGGGTCCTTGAAAAGTTAAGAAATTCAGAAAAAAATTAGGGGTTTTTCTACATGTCTGGATGTTAGTGTGTATGTGTATGGGGGGCACAATTTTGTTCACTCGCTTTGAAGCTTAACTTCTGTGCCTGTCGTTGAAAATTTTTGACATTTTGCAGGGAGGTTTGTGTATTAAGGGGTTTGATGATATTAAATTATGGTGATTAAAGATTAAGGGGGGTGGGAAGATAGAAAGGGACACTTGTCATATCTTGAGAGAGGTCAGACTGAATGAACATTTTATTCATTATTAGCATTAACAATTTTATAAGTCACATCTTCCACTATTTCCAGCAAAACAGTTTAATAAAAATTTAATAAAATGAATGTTTTTGGTTAAATTAAATGTCCTATTTCAGATTTTAACAGTCTGAAATTGAACATCTAAATAGAGTGCAAACTTGGAAGATTGCCAATATTCTTATGATGATATTATTTTTAACCTATTTGATGTTGAAATTTTTATTTGTTGCCTGTGACGCCATGTTGAATTTTCATCGATTTTAAGCCTAAATATTTTTTTTTTTTAAATAATAATCGTGTTTACTGTATCGTAAAAAATTATTTTTATATGTTTCACAAACAAAATAAATATATTGAATTATATAGAAACAAAAAAAATTATACAGTAGAACCTCGATTATCCGGACTAATTGGGGATGAAGGTAGTCCGGATAAGGAAAAATCCGGATAATCGAAACAAATATTTTAATTTGTCTTTTAATGATAATACAACACGTTTTCTTTTCGATGACATATCGGTAATATTAAAAGTAAATACTGTACTGTATTTAAATCGTGATCAAATTTTCAAGAAACAAACGTTCGTATTGAATTTGGACTACTACTGACCAACGCTAACAGACTACCTATTGTTTAAAAGGCCCTCTGGTGGCGCAAGAAGACGGATTTTATAAAATAAAAAGCAGTTGAAACTGCATTTTTATGAATAAAAATTTGACAAACTATTTAT